GTCGACGTAGTTCGGACGGTCTTAGATATTATCGATCCTATTAGTAAAGCTATTATAGATCTCGACGTACTTAGTAGTAGGCTTAGCTATTATCTTCCTCTACTCGCGGTTAAGGGAGAATCCTATTTTCTTAAGCTATTATACGGGTTAGCGCTACTTTTAAAGTATTAAATTCCTAGCTTATACTCTTATAAAGTTCTACTTAAAATATCTATATTTGCTATTATTATCCGGATCCTTAGAGAAAGTTCTAGCTCTCTAGTATTTCGTAGTATCGATATAACCTAACTATAGGTATAGTAACTTAGGCTTCTTCGCCTTCTTAGGCTTTTATACGGGTAGTATAGAGGAGGGAGAAGGATATAGATAAGTAGTAAAGGGGTAGTATAGTAATAAGAGTAGTAGGTATTAATATTAGTATTTAGGTATTAATAAAAGTCGCTAAAAGAGTAGTAGGTCTTTATYCTACTACTCTTTTAGAGATCTTACTTACCTATATAAAGAGTTATATAGCTACCCGCGTAATGCTATTATACCTTTACTTTATCCTTACTATTATTACTTAGGTATCGTAGACTTAAATAAAATTACTTTAAAGAAGGAAAGCGAGGATATTGTATACGTATATTAAATTACGCTACTTATTACTTATTGTACGGAATACACCTTTAATTACCGAGGTTCTAATACCCTATAATGCTAGCGTCGCACTATCGCCTAAAAGGATTATTGCAGAGTTGTTCTTAAAAACGCGCCGTAGTGGCTAGGATTAATTCCGAGATTCCCTTCACGACAAGCTTCTTGGCGCCGCTTGGGACTTTCCACTCGATCCCAAACATCCTGGAAGTCTTCCCTCCATACCTAGGTATAACGAGGTCAATTCTCGAGAGAATTTCCCATGTCGCATAGGTTGGCTGTGGAAGGCTTCCAGACATTCAGAGGAAGCTCTTAGCCGTGGCAAATGCCGCAGGAAACTCTCTCTTGCCATGTCGCCACCACGTACAGCTGACCGCCCAGGAGCTTTGGAGACATAAGAATTTCCGCATGGTCGGATGATGGACTCCCGAGATTCGACAACGCACCACATGGCGCTTGTACGGCTCAGACAATTCCAGCGGCGATTAGCCGGTCCTAAAGGCGGAATGAATAAAGTCAAGTGAACAGCTAAGTTACATGCAGTACCCAGCAATTCTGTGCCCTGTAGTCAAGTCTCATAATGCGATCGTTCACGCATTCCAGCTGGTCGCTTTGCTTGCTCACCGCCTCTGCCTTCGCTGGTATCATTCCATCACCGAGCGGATATGAGGCGGATGTCTYAACTAGTAACTGTGGAAAAGCCGTAAGCCTCCCTCCTGGAATATGCCTTTCAGTCTTGAGTCGAATTGTTGACAGCCCACAGTGTTCAGAACTTGCTCAACTGCTTCCAGGCAAGATTGTCTTTCCGAATGACTCCAGCAACTATACGCTCGAACAATCCGGCTTCTGGTCCGTTCAACAGAGCTCGGCGGCACCAGCATGTTTTATAACGCCAGAGACCGCCCAAGATGTTGCCGTTGTCGTCAAGACTGCGAAATCCACAAGTTGTCCCTTTGCCATCAAGGGAGGTGGCCACACCGCCTTTGCGGCCGCGTCGAGCATCCAGGATGGCGTATCGATCGATATGAGGAAGATTAACGAGGTGACTCCTAGTGAAGACGATTCCGTGGTAAGAACAGGTGCCGGTAATCGATGGGAAAACGTCTACAAGATGTTGGCAGCCTACAACCTTACAGTCATCGGAGGTCGCATGGGTGGCGTTGGTGTTGGTGGGTATACCTTGGGAGGTGGACTTGCGTATTTCAGCGGGTCGTACGGACTTGCCTGCGATAATGTGAAGAACTACGAGGTGGTTCTGGCCAATGGAACTATTCGCGATGTTAGTCAGGAATCGGATCCGGACCTGTACTGGGCTCTGAGGGGTGGAGGTAATAACTTTGCGGTCGTTACGCGGTACGACCTTGATGCGTATCCCATTCGAGACTTTTGGGCTGGGGGCCTCAGCTTCAATATTTCGGAGACAGACAGGCTGGTAGAATCCTACTWCTACCTTGGACTCGCGACGGAAAGGGATTACAAGGCAACAAGCTGGTTTGCGATGCCATATATCCCAGCTTTGAAGCAGCCTATCATTAGTAAGTCTTGATACGTTCTTCCAGCAGGATGGCCGCTGATACATTGCAGATATGCTCCCGGTGTACATGGACCCAGCTGCGGTCTCTGCCGAATCTACCGTCTCCACTGCAGAAGCCATCTTCGCAAACTTTACCTCTGCAACGCCTCTCATTAACGACATTATGATTGGAAACGTGTCCAGGATTGCCGCCACAGCCGACGATGATTTCGCTGGGTTCAGAAATACCTGGTGGGCATTCAGCATTAAGCTCAACCTTGAATACATGAACATCATGGCACACCGCTGGCTGGACTGGGACAAGACCCTCCTCACCGGTCTTTCCAGCTTCAACTATCAAATTCTTAGCAGCCATGCGCTTGAGCAGACTGAGAGGAGAGGTGGTAATCCTTTGGGCCTAAAGAAGGAGGATGGACCGCTGGTGATTGTGAACATCACGCCGAAATGGGAGGATCCTGCGTCTGATGCGGAAATCTTTGCAAGGACGCAACAGTTCGTGGAGGAGGCGGTAAAGCTTGCCAAGGAGATGGATATCTGGCACCAGTATGTGTATCTCAACTACGCGGCGAAGGAGCAGGGGGTGCTGGCAACTTACGGCCAGGAGAATCTGGAGCGGCTGAGATCTGTTGCGAGAGAGTATGATCCTGAAGGCGTCTTCCAGAAACTCGTGCCGGGAGGACATAAGCTGTGGCAATAGAAAAAAACCATTGATTCGATGGGCGGTTGATGATGAGTGCGGTTGGAACAAGAACTTGATGTCAATGAAACTCTGACGATCAAGTTTGGCCCCTTGGCTGTCTCGTTGATCATAACACAAAATCCATGTTGATAGTCAGCCGAATACCCCACATTTTCGCTCGCAGTCATCACTCTACCCCTCGCTGACGTTCCAATTCGAAGAATGAGCACGAGCGTCGGAATTATTGTGAACATGATTTCATTTGTTTCTGATGGACTTTTACAGTACGTCCATTGTATCTGGTTAGGTTCTGCAGATGATCCGAGCCGAGGCCTCCTTCTCCACCAACACCGCCTCAGAACGCTTTCTACTCGATCAATCTCTCCCTCAAGCTTGCTTGGCAACCACACTCTTCCATGCCGGCGTCTGGGAAATACCCTCATATAGCTTGGTGTAGTTTGGGAAGGGACTAAGGTCCAATTGGAATTTCTGCGCCCAGATGATGAAGGTGGTGAGGTAGGCGTCGACTCCGGTCAGGCTGTCTCCAAGAGCGTACTGTGGTCCGCCGAGCGCGGCGAGCTTGTCTTCAACCACCTTGAAGCCCGCGAGAACACTCTCCTTGGCCTTCTCTCTGATGCCTGCTTCAGCCGCTGCGTCGGTCGAATATTTTGAAGGAGCGAAAAGACCGCCAAACGCCTTGCCGTGGATGTTGCCGCTGAGGTAGTTCAGCCACTCGTAAAAGCGGACGTTATCCATGGGCGTCTTGCCAATGTAGTTTTTCTCCGGTACCAAATGTGAAATGGCTGTGATGATGGCGGGAGCCTCAGTGACGACTACACCATCGATGACCAGGGCTGGCACCTGGCCTTTGGGATTGACGTTCTTGACGAAATCGGCTCTTTCCTGTGGGTCATAGGAGACCTTGATGGCTTCGTATGCCAGACCAGCGTCCTCGAGAAGGAGCTGAGGCGCCATAGAGCAGGCATTGGGGGAGTAGTACAATTTGATCTGAGGTGCCATGGTAGATGTGGATGTGTTTGATGGTGTTAGTTTGGAAGGTGGTGCTGCTCGCTAAGGCTCATGACAATTGGGTCGAGATGCTGTTTATATATACATAGGGTGACCCGCATATGATAGGAAGCTCCAGTAAGAGCGTGGGGCGATTACAAGGGAGGTAACGTTAGGCCAATTACGAGGACACTTTCGTACAGTTGCTGGAAGCTTCGAGACCGTCTGCACTTTGGATTGGTCAAAGACTCTTTGGTAGAATGCTGCGGTGCTTCCCGCACGCAGAGGCTGTAGGCTGTATGCCACGGGGGATATTGATCTCACCCGAATGTTCGGCATCCAGAGCGTATGGCTTACGTGTGCTTTGAAATCCAGCACTACGCTTGCACTGGCGCGAGAAGAATCGAGGCACCAAGGAACACCGTAGTTGGTGGTCGGCATGGATTTCATCTTCGCTTCCGATTCCATCATGATGGAGGCCGCCGCTCACATGTGCTTGTGTGATCCGTAGTGGACACGGAAGTACAGGCTGAAGCCATCTTTGAATGATGTGAGCGTGTGAGCTTCTCCGCGCCACGTTGACTTCTTGTTGGATGCAGGAGGCCTCTCGACGAGGGACAGTCGATGCGGTCTGATGTGGTGCAATCTACATGTGAGGATATGGATGTGAAGCGATGCAAGGCGAGGTCAGCGACGGTACCTTAAGGTGAGAAAGAAAGAAAGAGGGCAGCTCTTGCCGACCGAAGAGTCCCAGCACTAAAAAGCATGACTATCGGCAGATTTCCGAGCTTGGCACTCCACCTCATCAATTTCAGCCAAAACATCTCATTCTCGATTCTTGCTTCAAGGAACGCTACCTGACAAGACAATCCCTCAAGATGCCTACCAGACTCACCAAGACCCGCAAGCAGTGCGTATACACCAGCGTATTCCCTTCATCTCCCTCCGCTCTCTGACAGTCTCCTCCAGCCGCGGTCACGTCTCCGCCGGTCACGGTCGTGTCGGCAAGGCTCGCAAGCATCCCGGTGGTCGTGGTATGGCCGGTGGTCAGCACCACCACCGTACCAACTTGGACAAGTACCATCCTGGTTACTTCGGTAAGGTTGGTATGCGATACTTCCACAAGCTCCAGAACCAGTTCTGGAAGCCTGTTATCAACCTCGACAAGGTGCGTCAATGCAAACCCCATATCTTCGCCGATTGTGAACATCTTTCTAACGCCCATTCAGCTCTGGGCACTCGTCCCTCTCGAGCAGCGCGAGAAGTACCTCGCCAACAAGTCCGCCGACACCGCCCCAGTCCTCGATCTCCTTCCTCTCGGCTACAGCAAGGTCCTCGGAAAGGGTCGCATTCCCGAGATCCCACTCATCGTCCGCGCACGTTACTTCAGCAAGGACGCCGAGCGCAAGATCAAGGAGGCTGGTGGTGTTGTCCAGCTCGTCGCTTAATTGCGATCTGAAGCGTCAACACACCAAAAGCAGAGATATCATGTGGCTACGAACACTGGCGTTGGTACAGCGGCCGTCAGAGGCGCCGCGGAAAAAGATGGCGTCATGGGAGTCAGCTGGGACATCCCCAGCGGCGTGGATGTGATACCATACCCTTCAGCGTGGTAGCTGAGAGATGACTGTCAATCGTCGTTTATAGACATATGCAAGCATCTCTGAATCAACCTTCTGACATCCGCGAGGATGAGCTGTTCATGCACGTACTGTGCCGAGCTGATGCCACATGTGTATGCATCAAGCCCTCACTTGCCGACTGTTGAGTCGAGATGGTAAGTCTACAGATACATCTGGGCTTACTGCCCTTTCGTTATCTCTCTTTTCTTGCGTGTATCATATCCATTTTCACATGAAATCCCCGCAGTGCGAATCATTCTTCAGCCTTGCCGAAATATTGGGTTGTATGTAGCTATCTTGTAGCAATRCAAAACGACTCCCTTTTCATCATCTATGCAGCCTCTGCTGGATCCCTCCGAGACTCTAGAAGGAAGTCTGCAATGATAGACAGTCCCTTGTAGTCGTTCTCACGATGCGAGACGTCGCAAGCCTTTGATGCCTCGCCTTTCAGCAATCTCTGCCCGAAAGCCAGAGCCGAGTCGAAGTCAACGATCACAGCATTACCATCATCGTCAACACAGACGTTGTCTGTAACGATCATTAGCAAGACTACCAATCAAKCTCGTTTACACACCGAACACACCTGGCACAAGATCATTGTGGGCAATGCCCAATGAGTGGAGATGCTCGATCCCGTCTTGTATCTGCGCCAAGAGCATCTCACATTGATATCTGGATAGACCTTCTTCTCGAAAACTTATGAGATCACATCGGTATCTTTGTAGGCAGATGTGAGTGATGCGGTCTGCCTTCACGACACAACCATAGTAAGCAGCAAGATGAGGATGTTTCTGCTTGCTCAGATTCTCAAGCAACTTGACCTCGCACAACATGCGATCGGCAACAAATGTTCGTCCGGGCTCTCGGTCCTCATAGACAAATTGAGGTGCTTTGAGATAGTGGAGCCTTGAATCAAATGGCGGTGCCATCTTGAGGTCTGGAGAGAATGGAGGGAACACATTCTCCGAGGGGATTGGCTCCAAGAGTTGAAGAACTTCGAAGTCGTCTAGATCATGCATCGGCCGTGGCGATTTACCCACGTATGCATTGCCTTCGACGAATGCTGTGACGAGTGTTCCTTCGAAGTCCTCTTCACTCGACCATTCTTCGCGTAGTGAGAATTGGGAGCCGTCTGCTGTTTCATAGTCCATTTTCTGATGAGTGAAGGTTATCCCTTGCCTTTCAAAATGTCTCCTTAAGTTTGAACACAGCTCGTCGCTGCATCGCGTAGACTAGACTGGTTTGGTTTGCTTGCTGTTTGTTGTCATCACACGCATGGGGTAAGAAAACAGAGTTGAAGACTGACTAAGCGGGTCTGCTGCAAACCGATGTACAACCGCTGCAGTTCCTGCACCTGCGACAAAACATCAAGTACAGGACACTGAATCGGACCTCGTGATGCCGATGCCTACGCCAGGAATGGAACGGACTCCGGAGACACAGATAGTGGCCTCATTCGGCTCTTTTGTTAGATATCCGGTACATCGCCCTAATGATGGCCATGAACTGACACCTAACCTCAGGGAACCGGGTCTCGATGCTCGTGACCAAGTTCACCTTCCAGAACAAGAACGACAAAGTGGATCTTGCCATCAAGCAATCTCGCATGTTCTGAGCACTCCAGTGCGGCGGCATCATGATGGACCGATATATTCCGCCAGTAAGCGCCTGCCATCTCGTGAGTTGCATGTGATGCTCCGGAACATCTTTTGATTGGACAGCGCGAGGGTGGGAAACAATCAAGCCCACGGATGTCACATCTGGGGTCTCTGCGACCATCCTCAAAACAGCCTCGGTGGGTGCCGCTGTCAACTGAGCCATCTGCTGCTAGCAGAGCTTATAAAAGAGCTTGGTGTGCTTGTGCCATGTCTTGACCACGAGCTAACGCCACGCACTGGGCGATCAAACAACCTACGTCAAATCAGGAGCGGCTCTACACTCACCGTCGATCACGACAGTGACCTCTGCCTTGTAGATCACTGCTTAGGCGAACGATGGTTCGTTCTGCCGACTCCCTTGACTTATCATGGAATACCACCGAGCCTTGAGGCTTGCTGCTAAAGCAAGCTAGAGGTACGGGATTCGTATGGTTGGGCAAGTGGATAGAGGAGCTGCCTAACGCGGTTGGTGCTGTTCATACAAAGCTCAAGAATTGCAGACTGACTGCGTAGATACTGGGGAAGATACCTAAAATGGCAGGTGTTATCTGAATCTCCAGCGTATCAAGCACGCTTGCAAGCGAGAGCATCCAGATGTCATTGAGATAGACACCAACTTCACGGACATCGCCACAGGTACAGCAAGATGGCCATCCAAGCAACTGCCGAACAGGTAGGCTGGAATGGGCCTTGCGACGCCAGCACTTAGTATAAGTATGTCGTCTATCACCTCAGAACGAGAAACCATTCGCAGCATACTTCCAACACATCCAGTCTCGACCACTGCTTCCCTCAAATATGTTCTTCTCCAACACCCTCGCCATTGCGGCAGCCATCGTTGCGGTGTCAGCAGCACCTGTCGAGCCTCAGGTTAAATCCACTGTTCTGCCATTGAAGCACGTCTCAAATGTTAAGTCAGCAAAGAGCCTCGTCAACAGAGGTCACCAACGTATCAATGCCATTAACGGTGCCCACGCTATTGGCCCAACTGCCGATGCGAGCTCTGGCTCAGTCACGAACGAGGACGTCTCCTATGTTGCCCCTGTTTCCATCGGTGGGAAGACCTGGGATCTCATTGTTGACACTGGATGTGAGTCGACCCCTTAATGTGGTGTTCGATGCATTTGCTAACCCATGTCTCTTAGCCTCCAACACCTGGTGTGGCGCTCAGAGTGCATGTGAACGTACTTCAACGGGCAAGTCCACTGGCAACTCCGTGTCCGTCAGCTACGGAAGCGGTTCTTTCTCCGGCACGGAGTACACAGACAAGGTCAGCTTCGGTGGCCTCACTGTCAACTCGCAGTCGATTGGGGCTGCCTCGAAGGCCACCGGATTTACATCTGTTGATGGCATCTTCGGCTTCGGTCCGGTGGATCTCACACAGAACACAGTGAGCAACACCAACACGGTTCCAACATTCATGGACAACCTGTAAGTATACATGTACTTCTGTGTGTAGCCAGTGCTGATCCCTGTTCTTTCAGATACAACCAGGGCTCCATCTCGACTGAAGTGCTCGGTGTTTCCTTCAGGCCCGAGTCTGGCAGCGATACCAGCGACACCAACGGCGAGCTGACCCTCGGTGGTGTGGACAGCACAAAGTACTCGGGCTCGCTCACCTACTTCCCTCAKCTTCAGAGCGGTGCAGCCGCACCATATTGGGGTATTTCCATTGCAAGCCTCACATATGGCTCCACCACTCTTGCCACATCTGCGACTGGTATCGTCGACACTGGTACCACCCTCATCTACATCCCAACCTCTGCCTACAACAAGTTCCTGTCTGCCACTGGTGGCTCAACCGACAGCAACTCTGGCCTAGCTGCTTTCAGCACCAAGCCCACATCCAACTTCGCAATCAAGTTCGGCTCGACCAGTTACACTCTCACCCCTGCACAGTACCTCGTCCCAACTGCCCAGTACAGCGAATTCGGACTGGCCTCCGGAAAGTACTATGGTAAGTTTGAGTTCGATGAACACTTGTTGAGTATCCTTCTGACTTTTCCCAGCATGGATCAACGACGGTGGCTCTTCCGGTGTCAACTGCATTATCGGACAGAAATTCCTCGAGCAGTACTACTCCGTCTACGACACCACCAACAGCCGCATCGGATTCGCTACTGCTAGATAGAGCGTGAATTGTGGACGAGAGACCACACTATGCTGGAACATGTGGGGTCGAAAGAAGGGATCAGAGCGAATCGATGTAGATGAATGTAGATGAATGTAGACGAATGCAGATGAATGCAGATGAATGCAGATTTATGACTTGAACGGCGGAGCTCCTGTGATTTGAATGTGGTGAGCAGACGCGATGATAGCATGCAGACTGAGACAGGCCTGTAGATCGGTCCTTGAAAGTGTGCAGTAATCGTAATTGAGCTGTCTTCATAAAAGCTGCCGTCATCATAGCTGTAGTCGTAAAATCTGACACCATAAAATATCGTTATCATGAAGSAAGCATATCCCATAGTCGAACACTGCCGTACTGCCAACGCTAAGATACCACCCAAAAGGAACGAATCATTAGTGATTCCGTGTTGCACCAGTTCGTGCGCTCTCTTCACTATCCTGACCCCAAGTGCTTGTAGGACTTGCCCTCCGACTGTCTCCATCGATGCTAGATGTTGGCGTGGATTCGGGAGAGACAATGAAGAGATCTTGATAATTGCCAAGCAGCAGTCTGGACCAGTAGGCGGTGGAAGGTATCTTCACAGAAGCCAGCGAGGCGTCGTAATTTGGCAAATCCGAGTACATTTCTTTTTCTTCTGGGAGGTAGAGGTCGTGACGCCTGACGTCTACATAAGAAGTGGCTCGCGGAATCTGTTTCTTCGTGGCGCGAAGTCTTTCGTCTACAAGGCCGGAGACATGTCAGTCTTTTCCCCGAAATTTTGAACTGAGGCGATCACGGGACTGCCTACCTTTGTCCAGCATGGCACACAGATCTTTCTGCGAGGAAGTCTCCAGCTTGCCTCTGTAGGTGTAGATCAACACGGGGCTGGTATCTTCATGATCCAAACGATAACGCTCTCCACTCGCGCTACTCGTGGAACTGTGCGTAGAGTCTGTCAGGCCAGTGCCGACAGAAATTGCGCCTGGTTCGGGGCGTGCTGCCTCCATAGTGTACGTGACCTCGTGGGCGGCCTCGGTGCACGGTTGTTATTGGGTTGCAGCGGTATTAATTGACGGCAGGATATCGCGCTGCTTTCAACAGAGGGCAACTCTCGTTGTTCGAAAGACGTTTGCCTGAGACAGGGGAAACAAAGTCGTATGCTCAAGCAAACTATAGGCTTCGCTGCGCGCCTTTGGCGGGAGTTTACGGGCGTGAGGCTGTCAGCCGAAGATTTAGGCAAACAAAGGATGAGTCCGCTGCGCGATCCCGGCTGTCAGCGATAACTCACGAGAACGGTCTGGTGGGCAGTGTTGAAGGCAATAGATGATGTAACAGGTGACTAGACGTGTGTGTGAGCTTTGCGCTGCGGCGAATTTGGGCGTCATCACGAGACGCGCTAGACGAACCTTGTGCTGGAGGAATGTGGCTGAGGGAGGGGATTTGGGGAGGCACGACAGTTCGCTGAACCCTGTCATGGGAAACCACCACCAACCACGATAACAAGTGTACGACAACGTCACCAAGAAATTGGAATCCAACCGCTCATTGTTCACCGAGTCACTTGGCAGATGGATCCTTCGCACTTCGTCGCACAATGCTCGGTCGGGCGATCCTGTATGGAGCGCCTGAGCGCATTGAGGTCGCACGGCTCCCGGTCCAAGCAGACACATGTGCCGATGTGAAACTTTGTGGACCACTAAAAGATGTTAGCGATGCACCTTTGGGGCCTCCCATCACACATTTTCGACATTTTGGCGTCTGGTAGGATGCGTTCCTGCAGGCTACGGACATCTGGATGCTGCGTGAGCCACACTCGACTAGCTCGGGGCGGATCGTGAACATCATACCGCGACGCGAGCGGTTGGCACGAGGCTAGCTGTTCCTCCCAAGTGCCTCCATCTCGTCTCTTCCTCGATGCCAAAGACTGCTGACCTCGACCCACCTGCCGACCTTTTTGTTTGTTCCTCTGYATAGCGCGTTCTCATCATTGTCGCGAGTTTCCTCTTTTACGTCCATCGCAGCGTCAAGGWACACAGCCGTTCCGCTCCGCATGGCCAAGTTTGAAAGAACGTCCACTGCCTTCTAAGACACGCTCCTCCATGTGACTCCACGCAACGAATCTCTCTACTCTCTATGCTTTGTTCACTCAATACTGTCCTCCCTCAACACCCCACGAAAGACAGCCACCTGATGCCAACCGGCGACTGTTTAGCAGTGAACTCAAATCACTGCTTTCAAAGATCATAAGAGGAGGGATAGCCACTCCGGGTGGCACCAACAGCAACAGTGGATTCTATACCCATCGCACCGTGGGACTTCCTACGGCCAGCAACGAATATGCACGAAAGCGTAGCGACTCTCGATCCTTCTTCTGGGACAGATTCGAGAAATCCTAGTCGAGCACCAAGTGTACCTCGAAGGGAGGAGACGGGCAATTCAGAAAAAGCTGGGAGAGTGTGGGCCAGGTCAGTTGTTCCATATCTCTCGTGGAATGAGATGCGTTGGTTCCAACCAGGGAGGTCTTCGCGCGACTAACACACCTTTCAGAGGAGTAGACGATCCTTGGCACCCGTGCATTCTTACACTCGATGGAGGTGGTATCCGCGGCTACAGCAGCCTGTTGATCTTGCAAGCTTTGATGCGCGAAATCGCCGAGTGGGAAGCATATTACGACAACATCGAAACGATTAATGTTCGGTCGGATAGCCCGACGTCTTACTTTAGTGCCGAGGAACAGACCGGCGCTGGTGCAGCGCGTGGACGTGCAGGGAAGATCGTCGTTGAGACTACAGAACATCATCCCGAGCACCCACTGCATCGAGTCACGACGGAGGTACCTTTGACGCAGACCATTGCAGCGGACGAGGTGGAGACAATGCCGTCGAATACAGCCGATGGATTGCTAGACACGACTGCTGAAGAGGGCGAACCACCACAGAAAGGACCAGAGTCCAAAAGTACCAGCCATCATGCCGATGACTTGCTTCCTTGCCATTATTTCGACTTCATGTATGGCACGTCGACCGGCGGACTCATCGCTACGATACTTGGCAGGCTTCGCATGACTGTTCCCGAAGCCTTGGAGCTTTACCGCAAGGTTGGAAATGACCTGTTTGGAGTCCGGCGAAGTCGCGTTCCGCTTCGAACAAAGTACTACCACGAGCCGCTCGAGAAGGCTGTGCGAGAAATTGTCAAGAGACGATGCAAGGACCATCCCGACTGCGATGGCAACGACCTCCATCCGTGGGATTCCACGCAAGCTACGTTCGACGTAGACTCGCCTCGTGTCTGTCACTCTTGCTGCCTAACGGCGACGCACGACCAAAGCCTGTGTGAAGCACACCTCTTGCGATCCTATCCGCATTACTACAGCGATGCCTGCCCCAACTGGATTACACGTTACAACGAGGGAGCAGACGCTCTCCCTATCTGGCAGGTGACGAGAGCAACGACGGCAGCTCCATTCTACTTTGAGATGCTGAAAGCCGTGGTCAACGACGTCGAGATGTCTTTCAAAGATGGTGGTATCAGGGAGAACAACCCCAGTGGTGCGGCAATCAGCGAATTTCACGCCCTATACGAAGGACGTGCAGCATCTCCTGCGATACTTCTCAGCGTTGGAACCGGACGACCAAGCCAGATCCACGATGGTTTTGCTGCACCTTGGCCGACGACTATTGGACGATTCCCGCTTGTGAGCAAGTTCTTGGAGAAGCGTGCAGTCGTGCAGAACCTTTTGATCAAGTACACTGAAGGAGAGAAGCAGCACAAGCAGACACGGGAGCATGCAAAAGGAGAACATACCTGGTACAAACGCCTGAATGTGTCCAAAGGATTCGAAGACATGCCTCTGGACCACTGGGAAGAAGGATTGTGGACCGATCCAGTGACGGGGAAAGAGACACGCATCAATGGTGGTACGAGCTTGACCAAGATGGAAGAGGCTGTCGAGGAAGAGCTCAATCGGCCATTCAATCCGGAAATCGACTCTTATGCGCCCCCAAGCACCATGTTAAAACAGGCAGCGCAGAAGTTGGTCCTACAGCGCCGTGCACGCGAGGCTGAGGGCGGTCCCAGATGGGAGGTCTATGTGGGAGGTCACAGGCCACACTCCAACCCAGCAGATTGAAAGGACATGCGTGGAGCGGAACCGACTGAAGACCAAGCGACGTCCCTGTCATGTTGCCCTCGACTGAGTTGGTAGAGGAAGGTGCTGAGTGAGCTATAGTCCTTCAGGCCACGCATTCCACTTCGATGCGTCGGCAAGCTGTATGATCGTGAATGGTCCTCCATTCACAACTTGAACCGGTGCTACTAACATGTTGAATTCCGCGCTCCGGAACGATGCTGGATCGAGGTCTCAACAGCGACGCTTGCTGAATATACCTGGCCACGAGCCTGCGAGAGGCACGCTCACGTCCCAAGCTGAATGGCCACAAGGCTCTCGGAGTAGAGGATAGAACCTACAGTCAAGGCTACGTACATCCAGACGGGAAAAGCATATTCCGGTCGTCTATATCCATCAACTAGGTATACTTGAACGACTGTGACCACAAGATAGCATGAATCCCAAACGTCGAGCAACACATCGCAGTGAAAGTGCGAGGCTCATGCATATGTAACTCGCCCCGAAAGGGATGTTATCGCAATTGATGGCACTGTTTCCCAGGTAGTAGATACCTACCTACGAATATATATGGAAGCTTGGACCATTTGGCGGGCATCCGGCCGTACCACCCACCATCCTCGGTCCAGCGAGAGCTCTCCCGGGATTTGGCGTATGCCAATGTTTTTAGCCTTCACATGCGCGTTTGCTTGTTCTCCCTGCCACCAGCGAATAATCGTGTGTGCAAAGTAGTATAAACGGCTTTGAGCCTCCACTCGTTCACCTCACTGCCGACCTCGTCCTTCCACCTAGATCTCGCCAATAGCCGAAGCAAGTCCCCCGACTGCAGCACATCATGTCTTCTTCCTCATCGCCGATAGACGGCGTGAAAGAGGCAGCAAAGGGAAACCTTGAACCGATCAAGAAGCAAATACCCTCAATTGATGAGGTCAAGGATGGGGCGAAGCAGAGCTTGGAGAGCGTCAAGCAGAGCGTGCCGACTTCTACAAAAGAGCTCCAGGAAGCAGTCGAGGCCACAGCACAGAAGTCGATGCAGAGTCTACGCGACTTTGTAGCGGGTGGTGTGGGAGGGATCTGTGCTGTCGTGGTTGGACATCCATTCGATTTGGTCAAGGTGCGGTTACAGACGGCCGAGAAAGGTGTCTATAATGGTGCCATGGACGTCGTGCGGAAAACCATCGCAAGAGAAGGGCCAGTGCGGGTGAGCACATGCTGCATTGTGTGAATTCTGTTATTCAATGCTGATGTATATTGGATAGGGACTTTACGCTGGAGTCTCTGCTCCGCTGGTGGGAGTAACACCGATGTGTAAGTGCTATCTGATCAAGACCTGCAATACAGATACGTGCTAACACTCTTTGAAGTTGCTGTCAATTTCTGGGTAGGTACAACGACGATCATGAATAGACCGCAGTAGACAGTATTTACTGACAACTCAAAAGGCATATGGCGTTGGTAAACAGCTAGTGGAGAAATACAGCACAGTCGAGAATGGCCATTTCTCAGTCGGACAGGTTTCAGCTGCCGGATTCTTCTCCGCGATACCCATGACTGTTATCACTGCACCGTTCGAGCGTGWCAAGATCATCTTGCAAATACAAGGACAAAAAGAGCTCAAGCCAGGCGAGAAGCCCAAATACGCTGGTGGCATGGACGTTGTGCGGCAGCTGTACAGAGAGGGTGGTATCAAGTCCGTCTACCGCGGTTCTGTCATGACGCTTGCTAGAGACGGACCCGGTTCCGCTGCATACTTTGCAACGTATGAGATCGTGAAGCGAAAGCTCACACCCAAGGACCCCGATACCGGCAAGCCAGGAAAGCTGAGCATGCCGGCCGTTATGGCTGCCGGCGGTGCGGCCGGTGTGGCCATGTGGACTACCATCTTCCCCGTGGACACTGTCAAGTCGAGACTGCAGTCGGCAGACAAGGCACAGGGCATCGGTGCGTGCATCAAGGAGCTGTATGGCAAGGGTGGATTCAAGGCATTTTTCCCTGGTGTCGGACCTGCCATGGCTAGAGCTGTTCCAGCAAATGCTGCGACATTCGTGGGCGTTGAGCTCGCACATATCGCCATGAACAAGGTCTTCTAGACCGGTATGTCGTGCCTGAAGCGGTAGAGGGTGCCACAAGGCTGTACCTTATGTCTTACTGCCTGCATGGCAAGGGATTTTGCAGCTCATCATAAAGTCATATCGAAATGATTAGACGGAATGCCGGAACGTCAATCAAACCGCATATTTGTCCTTGCACTTTTGTCGTGAACCCGTAGCCTCGTCTGTCTTTGGCGCCGGCACCTGGACCAACGTCGGGTATTTGTGTTTGCTCAACAGGCTCAATCTTGCAATCGCATATGCCTCAAACTGCTCCGTGTTCGAAATCGTGGGTGTGGGACATTTCTCATCGCTTCCATTTGCGGCATGTCCATTGCCTTTCCATTCACCGTTCTCTTCATTCGTTGTGTAAGCCGGATGCACACCGTCTGCCGCATCCGTCTCGAGATTTTGGACACCGATGGACGATCGCGTGTCATCTGTTGTTGTAGTAGTACACGAACCTCCTTTGCTTCCCGACCTCTGGTCATTGCCTCGCCGTGCAGCAGTAGGCCCACGCAACGTATGGGCCGGAACGATTCTACCTGCCGCATCTACCGCGAGATCTTCAAGATCGACGTACGATCGCGTGTCGTGTTCTGTTGTTGCTGTGGTGACCATGGCCACTTCTTTACTCTGATCCTGGCTATAGCTACCAAGAGCGCTGCCAAATCTCCTTCTGAGGTTGTCGCGAAGATAACGGCGGAAGAAGACTCGCCAGGCCGGCGCGCAAGCACAGATTACACCAAGTTGGCATTCGGCAATGGTCCAAGCAAGCAGCTCAAAGTTGTTCCACGTAGGGCCAAGGGTATGATTGGTCTTCCATAGCCAGTATGTTCGCGCAACGCCACAGCCACTCACGCTGAGAATTGTCAGCTACTGATCGATCCTCGTATGATCCTACCTCCAACTCACAGTAAACCCAGGCCGAACACAACATTGAGAGCAACCCTCTGTCTTCTCGAGGCATCAAGATCGTAATTCCTCAACATCAAGCACGGCAGCGCCACAGCGTATCCATCACTCACGGTTCCGAGAACCCCGCTTGCCAGTGTGAACGCAGCGGAATCGATGCAAGTGAAGGATTTGTCGAAGCCTGGAGTCATTATGTTCCACAATGCCTCCAGGGGTTGACAAATGAAGAAATGGCCAATCAAGATCGCTATCCCGTAAGAGATGGTGAACCCAAGCGCGACCCAAAGGGCGTAGATCCATCGTCGGTCCAGGGTGTCCATCATCATGCGGCGGTAGAAGAGCAGCACCGATAGCTTGGTGCAAATCGAGCTTACGGTGAACAGAACCTGACTCAACCAGAAGAACTATGACCCAATTATGACAACTGCAACATTTGTTCATCAGCGTTACTTACCATTGCTCCTGGCGCGAACATCCAGGGTTCCACGTCCCAAACATGCCGATCCAGCCCGTGGTGTTCACAGGTGACATATACTGCCGCCGTGAGACCGACGGAAAACAGCCAGGCGAAAAAGATGAAGAGGTCGTCAAGTCCAAACGATCCCGCTTGTCTTCGTGCCCTGAGGTATAGCCTCCCAGCGAGCATTACTGTGGCTAGAACTTGCCATGATACAGCGAAGGCCGGCATCCATGCGCGTCGGACTGGGTCAATGTAATTGGGAGTGGGCGTAGGTGGAAGATTGGACAAATCGAGATCTTCGATAGAAGGCATTTTAGAAATATTCGAAAGGAAGTTGTGATGTAGGGAAAAGCCTCTCGTAGCGCAGCACTGAGTCGTTAAGTACTTGTTAATGAATGGAAGGTCCCATTTCTACCAAAGCGAGGACTTGCAGAAAATCGAGCCCGAGAGAGAGGTTCCTGACTGGGGTCCACTGCGGTGTCAAGACGCGATGTAGTATAGTTTACATTTGGCCATGCGCATGGCCACGATAACCCGACAGAGTGGAGCACGCGTTGGCGAAGGCCAAATATTGCGGGTCATGGCACGCATTTTCAATGGAAGATTGCTTTTTCGCTATTTCGCTGGCCGATCATGTCTGCCAATCAGAGGTTCCGGACATCTTGTTTCTTGTGGTTCTTGCGGTATCCGAACGCCCTGTGCAATGTCAGTACGAGTATTGATTCGTGGTGGTAGTACTGGGTGCGCTCATGCAGCTGAGGCGTTTGAGACAAAGATGTCGAGAAGCTTGACTTTCCCGGCGCAATGGTTGCAGGGAACAACACATCCAACCTAAGTAGGAGTACCCCATCGAGCCGTGTATATACAGCTACGCCACCTCTTGACTTTGGCACTCGTCGCCAGCGAGGCTAGGTGCAAGCAGTCGAGGTGGGTGAAATGATGCATCGCACGCCCAGCATTGGCGAGAAACACATGGCTTTTTGCATCTTCTCTGATCCACTTAGGTGCCTTCCCACTGCCATACGCCCAGCACTTAAGATAGTGGCGCGAACGTCACCTAAGTTACCGCTCAAGAACTTCGGGCGATTGCACTCAGGGCTCGCATACCCTAAAGTAACAGGTCACATACGGACCCTTCGGCGCACGATCTCGCTTCGTGCGCATGGTCGCAAGTCCAGATGCGAGACCCACTTGTCCGGTCGTCGTGGAGAAGGTCGTCGCGTGTCAAACGGGTTTGAGAGAATGCCGCGCTTTGACTGTGCTTGATGATCCCCTCGTGATGAAAACTACCTACATCTGGACGTGAGAGCAGGACATGGTACGGCACGGCGGGGGGAGTTGTCTTTGTTCCTTCATCCTTCGGCGCAGCTGCGGCTGAACCCGTACTCGAATCCTACGCAGACGGAATCATATATTAAGGTCAAGCCGACGAGCAGTTAAAACATGTCAACCGAAGCGACGTTGTTGATACATCCTACAAAATGGCTGGTACTACGGCGATGATGCGATCCCTTGTATCACCCCAATTTGGCGAGCCTTCCATCTACGAGCTTCGAGATGGCGAGATGCCAAACGTCAAGAAACCAACCGAGATTCTCATCAAAGTCGAGGCGGCATCAATAAACGCGCATGATGTGATCATGGCTTCAGGTCGGACCAAGGCGATACAAGGTCCGCTAAAGCCATCTCAAATATGACGGGAGGATCAACAGCTAACAGTGCACGTAGTCCTCCCCCTTCCATATCCAATCGGGCTAGACTTTGCGGGGACTGTTCTCGACAGCGGCAGTGCAGTCTCCAGTTGCGGACCAGGCGACAGTGTCTATGGCTTTAGCGCCGCGGGAGGGACGGCAGCCACCCACCTCCTCCTAGATACTGCGAAAGCGCACACACACGCGATTGCTTGTATTCCTGCGGGGTTAGGCATGGTCGAAGCAGCAGGACTGCCAGCCGTTGCCATCACAGCTATGCTCGCTCTCCAGCACGCAGACAACTTTCTTCCAGGTGGCTTGCAAGGCAAGACTGTGTTCATCCCTGGAGCTCTCTCCGGCGTTGGATCCATCGCCCTTCAGATCGCAAAGCGGAAGTACAACGCTCGCACTTTGACTGCCGCTTCAGGAGGGAAGATCCCAAAGATAGGGGATTGCCTTGGCCAGGAGGTCGTCGACACAGTTTTCGACTACACCCAAGTCAACGTTACGAAGAAGATCGGAAAAGGTGAGGTGGACTTCGTGTTTGACACCACGGGACTTGCCTCGGAATATCTTCCCATGATTAAGCGTGGTGGTCTTTGCCTCAGCATTGCCAGGCTTCCTCCTGGGTCCGCTCTCAAAGATGAGTCGCCCGACGCACCGCATCAAAGTCGACTCGCCTGCATTGGACAGAACGTCATGGACGGCATGGATAATGCGTTCAGAACATGGGCCAAGACCATGTACGGCGTAGTATATGTGTATCAAAAGACAGAGCCCAACAATTCACATATGCAGGAGCTGAACAATTTGATACAGTCCGGGGTGTTGCAGCCTGTCATTGGGAAGACGGCAGGATTGAATGAGATTGAGAAGATACGGGATGGTTGTACGGCGATACTGAAAGGTAAAGGAGGGATTGGGAAGTTCGTCATCCTGATGGATGATGAGRATTGAAACTTTTGCGAGGCAGAGTCGTAGCCTCAGTGAGTCGTACTTACCAGATGTCGAACTGGCAGAAGGTGTTCTGTCATGCTCGGCGAAAAGATATACCATATGCAGAACACTCCTGAGCCTATTCCGACTGCTACTGATTTGACGCAGAATCCAAGATCTCTGCCATTATGCATCTTTCCCAATTGTTCTCGGGTATGATGTACTTACTGCTCCTGGCAATCCCCGAGACTGCAAGTCAAAGAAAGACACGTTCGACGAGTGGTAGCGAAAGATCGGAAATTTATCCCGATCCATTCACATGAGCAAGACGAGAATTGTACTCCTATGACAGAACAAGACACCTACAGCAGGGTGATGCGACGGCTTTCGCGAGGCAGGCGGAGCTGTCGGAACCACCGCAGCGGCGTCGCGGGATACACCCCTGTCTACCCGCGGGGAACAGGGGTGCTGCGCCTCGCCTGCATCAAGTGTTGCATTAAACGCTGCATCAACAGGGACCAGAAGGTTCCAAGCAATGGGACGGAGGGTGGTACAAGAATATGGGGCTGTGCCGTCTGGATTGTTCATGTTCCATATTCTAACCACTACGATAATTCGTGTTTGCAAGTTGCAGGGGTTCGTGGACGTGCGCACCTGCCCTCCTGCTCGATTTGCACCTGGCCGATGAAGGCGAACGAATGTTCTTCCCGCTAATAAGTCCCTCGTGGTAGCGATATATCCATAGTGTTGTCATTGCAGCTTTCCGATCCATTGCCCGTCACTCGCGACATTTTCTTATGAAATTGTCCCGGTTGACTACCGGTGTTTCAACTCCATGTGAGCTCACAGCGTACGCCGGATACGCAGGGTAACGACCTGCCAGACTTTCGACGGCTTCTCGCCCTGCATCATCGTCATCATCAGAATCATAGACCAGATCCTTTGCATCTTCGTCGTCGTCTGTGGAATCATACACGGGCGGCGCGGGCTGCTCCATTTCCTTGATCGCAGCGTCAAATCGGCGCAACATCTCGGCGTCGTGCGGATCATTGGGATCCGCAGGGCCCCAGCTCTGTACATCCTCGCTCTCGTCTGACACAGACTCCTGCTTAAGAAGCGCGTCTCGCGCGTCACTTTCGGGTTCAGAATCTTGGCCGGCATCAGGAACGCTTCCTGGGTTTTCGCTTTTTGGAATGGAGGTGACGCCGGGCAGGTCGGATCCCTCGTTCTCCTCTCCACGGTCTTCTTGCCGGCCATTGAGCTGAGCATCAAGTCTCCGCTGACAGACAGATTGATCCTCCTCGCTATCATCATCTCCAATATCCTCCTCTTCACTCCCCTCGTCGTCGTCAATTGCAGGTGTACGTAGATGTACTCCATCGGGATCATCGCCGTCTTCGTCTGTATCTTCCATGTCATTTACAAATGCCTGAGATTTCACCCTCACCCTCTTCGCTGCGATTGCCCTTTCCTTCATCTTTTCAGCCAAAGCCTTCTTCTTCTCCGCTTTGAACTGCAAGATGTCGGCTTTGCTCATCCCGATCATTTCAGGCATGAAGGTTCTCGACATGGCATGTAGGCGTCCGGCGTAACTTTTTTCCAGGAGCTTAGCCAGCACTTTTGCTTTGGCAGGCAAGGCCTCCGAACTCTCAAGCCTCCGCCGGATTTTCTTCGAGTCGACATTCCACTCCTTCAATGCGTGTTCTAGAGCTACACGGCGAAGGGCGCCGCCCATCGAGCTGAGACTGAATCTGCTGCCCATGTTCTTCTGGGCCACGATCGACCAGAGTACGCTATCCTCATCCTGAAAACGCTCAGACGTATCATCGAAAGCTGTGTGTATCTCGACAAAGATGTCATAGAAGTCACCGATTTCGAACGACCGGACCTTCTTCCGTACCGCGTTGAGCTTCTTCGCCGTCGATGCACGTACTTTGGCTGGCCCGCGAGACGTTCCGTCATGCTTAGTGGACTCTCTGGTCTCTCTCCGCTTGAGATTTTGCCACTTTTCACGACACTGCTTAGGGTTTCGCGTGTTGCCAAGCTCTTTTGCAATCCATTTCCAATGAACAGCATCCTCGAGGGCCACTCTGTCTGCAGCAACTTCCGGATCGGTTTTGGCATCATTMTTGATGGTTTCCATTGCATTCTCTACAGCAGCCACCAGTTTGCATTCCTCATCTTGCGACCAAGCGCCAGTTCTCTTGCTATGAGACAGGTGCATCGTCCATCGATCCTTGCAGTCTGCTGCAGTGCGGCCAACGATATCTTGCAGCTTTCGCCACTGATCAGGATAATTCGCTTGCGCATTGCGAAGATCTTCATCTTGCTCGGCTGTCCAAGGCCCTCGTTCTTGCATATGGTATCTCCTCTGACAGAACTTTCGAAGGGAAGCTTTCTCCCGAGCCGGGAAAGCAGCCTCGATTTCCTCTTTGAATGTGCCGGCGCTTCGCCAATTGCTAATATTTTGTTTCAGTGTAGCCTCGTCGATCCCTTCGCTGAGCAACACTTGGTTGAAGACTGAGTCTGCCAGCGACTTTTCGTCTGCCGTGAACGGGCCAGTGGACATTGCAGGCATCTCTCGAGCAGCATGTGACTCTTCTGATGGTGCCCTCTGCTTCGAACGAACTGTGCTTTTCGAGCTCTTTGGGCCTCTCGCTTTCTTCGAAGGCACCGTRACAGGCTTGAATGTTGGCAAGTCATCATCTGAGTCAGCTGATCGACCGTCTTGGTCCTCGCTGGCTGCCTGAAATTCGTCGTCGTCCTCCTCTGGGTCTTTTGACGTGCGCTTTCGTTTTCGTGAGGGCTCGGGCACGTCAGGGTCACTGTGCTCGGAGGCCCCATCCATGTCATCTTGCGGCCCTTGACTGCTCAGCCATGATTTGACCAGCTCTGTCTTGTGTTTGCCCGCCACACTCCGCAGGACCGGTTTTCTTTCCGCGGCCGCAGACGGCCGTGGTGGGCTGGACGTGATGGCTTGTGGTTGAGGGCGCTTCCGCTTCTTACTTGGTGCTTCTGCCATCTGCTCGTCCTCTTCGACTTGAATCTCTGCTTCGGCCTCTGAGCGGGGCTTGGGATGCTCCCTCCTTTGACGCTTACGATCCACCTTGCTCAGACTTGCTTGAGCGGGGTCTTGAGTATGTATCGGCTCATCGTCTGTCAAAACCTGCTTGGAAGCCGGGACCAGCGCATGATCGCTTGGTAGAGCGATCTCATCCTCTGACATTGGCTGATTGTGCTCCACTTCTCTGCCATCGACCTCGGCGTCTGCGGCTCTGTCAAACGCTTTCAGACGTTTCTTCAAGTCCTTCACTTTTGCCTTGTACTTTTTCAAGGTCGCCTCTTCCTCGTTCGAGAGCTCCCGCTTCGACCACTGGCCAGGCGGAAGCTTCTCCACCTCCCATTTCGCTCCATTGATCCTCGGTGCCCACTTGGCCCTGCCGCTGTTGACCAGCACCGTCTTTTTCATGCGGTGTAACTCCCGGAGCAGGTGCTTGCGTTCAGTATCACGCTCGCTTCGTGGCGTGTCATTGACACTGGAATTGTCGTTGGAGGCCATGTCTTCGTCCTCCTCCTCGGTGTCTTGCTGTGCAGCGCTGTTTTGTGCGGGAGAAATGGCGGGATCGGGAGGGTCTTCCGTGGCACTCGGTTGCGATTCGACGCTCTTCCTCTTCCGCTTTCTCCGCTGCTCGCGATCTAGACTACTTTGCAGGACTGAGTTCTCCAGGTCGCGCGCCAGAGCGCGACTTGCGGAGGTGTTGTTGGTACCAGAGGTTTTGTTGCTGCCGGCGACGGAAAGAGCGTCTGTGTCAGCCTCGTCGCTGTGCTCATCCTCCTGCACCTCTGGCAACTGAGATGCAGTGGGCTTCTCAATCTGAGACGACTCGCTCCCCATCTTCCCAGTCTCATTCGCAATCGTGACAAAAACGCGTGTTTGCCGTCTCGAAGAATGATGAGGTACGGTGATCGATTCCAGTCAAGGTAAGGTACCTCACATAGCGGCTGTCGATCATCCGCCTTGTTCCGGCATCCGGCGCTTGGGCTTTCAGGAAGGATCGACGCGCTTAAGACGTTAGCCAAAACAACTTCCCACTTTCCACTTCACTCTCACCCAACCTCAAACGGCGATAATGGTCGAAAGTCACCACAGTCCTGAACACCACGATGGGCTTGGTGAGACGGAAGAGCAGCACCGTCTGCATGCCAACTACGAGGCCCCGAAGCATTGGGGACTTGGCCGCCGAAGCGAATCCATACTTTTCTACACATTTGCCATTCCGTCGTGGTGCTTCGAAATTGCCGCTGCTATATTGGGAGCTTTCCGGGGTACCTCGTCGAATCCCTTCGTCGCGACGTGCACGATATGGCTGGTCCTCTGGTTGACTGCCTGGCTGCAGACGGCAGTTCTCATGATCCAGCGCGCCAGCTGGGTGCGAGATGAGGCGAATTTAAAGGATCGGAAGCAGTATCTGTATCTTTCCGTGAGATTACAGCGTCTGCAAATGGTAAGATTGCTGTCTTGGAMTTACTTCACGAACGTCACTAATGTTCGCAAAGATAACTTGGATTATCGCACTACCAGTCTTCATCCAGGCATACGTCCAGCGAAACAACACTGGATACAACACCGCATACTGGCTACTTTTCTTATTGTTCTTCATCTTCAATATTGTTGGATGTGTCATGAACGCGTACAACAACATCACCTGGGAGCTGGACAGACTGCTTTACGAGGATGGCGAGCCTCCCATGCGACACGCACGTCTTGCAAGTTTGGGAATTCCTTCATGAAAACGAAGAAGCTGGCTACTTCGTGCAGCGAGAGTTTCTTGGAGTTTATTAAGATTTGTTAATGTCGACGTCAATGTAATTAGCGCCGAAGAGATCAAATAGTGATCATACGTCACGGAAGTGCATCTGGACTCATTTCTTCCCCCATGCAGCTGGCATTGCGAATCTCGTGGCATCGCGATACTGCATTTTCGGACATGCCACTGGTTGAGCCCGTCCTTGAGACACGTTGAGATCCACAACTAGTAGTTTCTTATTTTGGGCACTGTATCAGGTACAATCGGAACAAATGATAGGGTGGGAATGTCTTTACATGGCCGAGCATGGTCTCCGCCACTCCATGATCCGTATGTCAAAAACCCTACCGCTCGGGATAGAAGCAAGTAATGCTGAAAGTTTGAGAGCATTGAAGGTGGTACATTCCAGTTGAGATTACGGGAGCAACAGATCCTAGGCTGTGCTGGCCAAAGAAAACGCCGAATAAATACCTCCACTGCCATTGACCTAGGATCAAGCATTACATTCACAAGTCTCTAGCCGCGCGAGGAATAACCCGAACCGTTCTGGAGTGAGATCGTATCTTTCCGCCCATTCACTGTAGTTGGACTATCTGATTGATGGCGACCTTCCACCATTCTCGACACCCTATTTTCCAGATCTCGTACATGCATACACTCTTCTCGGCTCTCCCGGGCCACCCTGGAATTGATCGGAATGTCGCCGACAGATCTGCCAGCTATTTAGGACAGGAAGCGTAAGCCTCAGAGCGAACTTGATAAAACATCGCGTCCGAAAAAGTTGAAAATGGAACAGCGGCCTTCTACCCAGCTGGGTAACCTTCTCCCGTCACAGTTCATACCATTTCGAGAAGGCTTTGTCCGTAACCTCAGCCTAGATAGTCCCCACTTTACCTCCGTCAGAAACCACATCGAGATCCTGATCGATTACAAGTTCAACAGGGCGGAGCTTTACTTGAATCGACATACMCTCTCAAGAAAGAACCAGCGTGGATTGGAAACGCCATCGTAATTCGAGAGGGCAACTACAGACTTGCTGTGTTCGGAGATGCGTTGCTCAAGATGGCGATTCTTGATGCTCGCTACGACCTTGCTGAGCTCACGGGTATGTCTAGATGTGAAGTTCATAAGATGATGCTGATGATYTATCAGGTACTACGGACCTGATCGTCCAACGCTTGGTGTCCGATCAGAACCTTGCAAATATCGCAGATGCTCTTGGAATCACGCCGCATCTTGCTATCTGGTATCAGAAAGGGGTTGAAGTTTCCAAGAGAGCCAAGGCCACCACGATAGAAGCCATCATCGGCGCAGTCTGGTTTGACTCTGGTAAAGATCTTGATGCTGTGAAGAAGATATTGCCGGCGTTGCTTGGGGAGGAACTGGACGCTCAAAAGACAGATCGATGATATGAGAAGTCGCAACATGCTGCTATGTTGGAGCAGCTGACCGCATGGATCGTGGTATTTCAGGCATTTCACGGCATTTCAGTGGGATGACTATCGATGCTTTGAGAACGCCAGATCGGAAACATGACCTTTGGGCAGTCATTCTTCATTCAGTGTGAATATGACTTGTTTCCTTATTAGTGATAGGGACCTTAATCGCCTGACTACAGTCTGTCGATCTCCTCTTTCTTCAAACCTTCATTTGCGAAGAATGCTTGCCAGTGAAACGCATGTGGTGGCTTCTGGACGATTCCCCATCTCATCATTTCCTCTCTTTCGTTCACTGCAGCCCCATTAGCCTGGTTTGCAAAGATGACTGGTATGTGCTGTACTTACTGTTGATTGGATCTCTAGTAGTGGGATACCAATGTTCGAAATCAACAATGGAGCTGTACAGGTTGTCAGCCATGGTCAAGTAGAGAAGTCCTACAGAGTTCAGCATACATTCTCTTCGTCTCCGGCTCCCACAGAATATTCCTCAAAGCACAGTCATAGGGCTCGAAACCCATTCTCCAAACAGATTTGATAGCGACTAGAAAGGCGGCCCGGATCTCCTCTCGCTGCTCCTCTTCCATTGACCAAAACTTCAACGCCATCAGGTCTCGGCCTGGCATCAAGGTCATGACAACATAAGCCAGATAGCCGCCCGGCATGGGTGAGTTCACTCCCTCCTTCTGAATGACTTTCTTCCATGCTACGAGATGTGGTAGAGAAGGTGATTTCGTGTCTGCGAACTTTTGCAATGCTTGCAGTTCCGCAAGAGTGTGTTCATTTGGGCCAGCAATAGGAGTCGTGAGTCCTCCAGCTAATACCGAGGGTGCTCTGAAGTTTGTGAATACCTTGCTCTGGAACTGGTGGTCAGAAGACGACTTACTGAATTTTGCATTTGAGAATGTAGAGATTCTCGCTTTTCTCGTCGCCGTTTCTGTTGTTCTTCTCATCAGGATCTATCCGCCTACAAATGTACAATATCCTGGCCTCGCTATCGTCTTTTCGGAAGTCGGTAATTGGCCGAAGTCTCTCAAACGCAGCATTGATCTCGGGAAATTCGACGATGGGATCCAATAGGCGATCAGCATCGTCGGTGGTGAGGCCGTGATTTACCATTACCATCTTGTATGTATGTGGGTATGTGTTAAAGTCGTGTGCACAAGTTTGAGACAATCGGGTCACAGAACAACTGACGCCGATCTCGGGTAAACGGATGGAATCTCAAGAGATGAAAGTTCTGGCTATGGAACGACAGAGCCCGTCGATGAAGTTCTTCTGTCATTTCAAATTCTTTCTGTCGATTCGTTAATACCGGCAGGACGTTCACATCATGCGCTGAGTGTACATGTGTGGGAGCTGCCTTCTGTCATGCCCCTATCTGCCGCTCACTGAAACATGAAGTCTCCACCCGACCGAAGTGAGCGTACACTCGCGGCAGGTTCAACCTGTCACAGTACTCCCACGCCAATGTCACAAAGAGCAGTGAGCCTACTCAGCCATCTCCCTCCCCAAAGTTCTCAATCATTGGCCGTAGTTGAAGTCGCAAGATCGTTCGCCATTGCTTGGATCAACGCCATCGCGACGGCGCGACCATTGGCAAGCGTCGTTGCGTCGCTTTCTGCTGGTACGTGTACTGAGTTTCGGTGGTCAGCATGAACTCCGACAGCCAGGACGAATGTTCGCGATCCCAGGGACGTCACCTACAAAACAGAACTGGACGTGCCGTACAAGCGCCTCCCTCTACATCTCCACACTTCCTTCCAAAGTATGCCAGACTGTTGAAGTAAATGTAGTCGCAAAGGTAGCGACCTGCATCCTCGCTTTGACGAACATCTGCTTTGTGCCCCGGAGAGCCTTCGGGAATTTCGTCAATGTGAGTACACCAGTCTCGAACCAGACTTTCATAATCGAGGGACGTAGTCATCGTGGAGGGACAATCCCCGAACCGTTTCAAACCATCATTCGACTCTAGAACCTTGCCGTCTAGGTCTTTGTTCTTGACTAGGTATCGTATAAGCCAAGGCAGCGCTTTGGGTCTTTTTCAAAACATACTGTAGCCATCACGGTGAGCATATCGTTCAGCGCAATACCATTTCCTTCCCGATGCCATTCCTATATGCAGTACGAGATCGACTGCTCCAGAGTATCCTTCGTGTAGCTTCGGAATGAGCTCACGCACCCCATCGTAACAGACTCGAATAGGTTGACTGTAAGGAATGATGCGGACGGTCACATCCTTTGGCGATGATCTTGGTAACAGCTCGGGCAATGAATTTGTGATTTCGAATGAAGGATTCACAGGGAACTTGTCCTGAAAAGGCCCGAAGCCAGTGACCAGGACTGTGATTTCTCTCTCTTTGCCCGAATGCCCTGTGCTGCCCATTGTATGCAATCGTCGAAATGCAGTTGTTGACGGCGCTGTGTTTGTTTGTTGTCAAGTATCCTTCCGTACGCTATCGTGTGCAGCGTATGGCCGAGGCTGTCAAAGTGTGGTAGATAGCTATTGTGGAGTCTGACCTTAGAATAGGGCCTTTGGAAGTGGAGAGCGACTGCTGACACATCGCACATCCCGATGATCAACCCTGGCCGTAGCAATCCCAAGATTGACTCAATTTGCTAGTGCTTGTGCCTGCCGAGTGCTGACCGCCGTTCAGTCAATTCTGATTTCCGCAGCTTTCCGAAGTCGGTTCATTATGGCTGCTGCCGTTCCATTCCCGGTCTCGTCAATTCCTTCGACAAATATGGCATCGACGTCCTGCCGATCGAGATCTCGCAAGGCCGAGAACAGACCTCTGGCAATGTCTCCGGTTCTCGCACCCAAGTCGATGGCCAATATGCGCTTCAATTGATCTTTGTTCACCTGATACGATACTATCGTAGGCTTGCTTCGGTCTGCTGCACGCACATCGAGAAGCATACCTGCAAACCCAAAGGTTTTTTGAGCATCCTCTATGTTTCCCGGTAAATTCTTCTGAGTGTCTGACCGAATAAGGAGAGATGAGCTGATATCGAGCGTCCATGACTCTGTCTGAACGATGCCAACGCGAGCGTGGGCTCCAACATGTCGCAAGAGTTCATCAATCGTTGGCGGCTCTCGACCCGCCTCGTAAAGAATCACAGTAGCTTTTGGAGAGTAGTGTCGATACTTCATTCCAGGGGCCCGCGGTTGACTATCTGTCTCGGCTTTGTTCTTATAAGCAATTTGAGTGTTTTCCCATCCAGGGACAGTTCGAATCTGGTCCAAGCTCAAACCTCCGGGTCTCAAGAGGGCAGGCGGATTCGATAGACCATCTACGACAGTGCTCTCAACTCCAATATCGCACGGACCGCCGTCGATAATGGYTTCGATCCGACCTTCGAGATCATATGCCACGTGTTCTGCAGCTGTTGGTGAAGGTTTTGTGGAGGCGTTGGCAGACGGAGCTGCGACAGGGACGCCTGCCAGCTTTATCAAGGCCAGAGCCAGTATGTGTCGCGGCATACGCGCGCCAAAGGTGCTGAGTCCTGCAGTGACCTCCGGAGCCAACGGAGAATTTTCCGGATTAGGCAATATGATGGTCAGTGGACCCGGCCAAAAGCGAGAGATCAGAGGTCTGTAAATCTCAGGTATCGGATCGTCCGCGGTGACTGTTGTATGAGTGCCATTGGAACGATGAGGGCTGGAGCCCCGAAGCAACGACCTCAATTGACTGAGAGAAGCAAAGTGAACGATGAGTGGGTTATCGGAGGGTCTTTGCTTAGCCTTGTAGATGCCTTGGACAGCAGCGCTTCTGGTTGCGTCTGCACCTAGACCATAGACGGTCTCGGTAGGAAATGCTACAGGAATGTCAGACGTTCTCAGCTGCGCTGCAGCATCCTCGAGACGCTGGGAATCGATGAGATGCGAATCCAACTCAATGTCCAAGTCATCAAGCACATCGTTACTCCGTGGTATCGCAACAACTCGTCCAATTTTGCGCGCGTCGACAGCCAAGATACGCGTCTCCATGATTCTGCTTGAATGCGGAGCTCCCGCGAAGCGTCTTTGGATGCACGGGCTAGAATTGGTGCGTAACAAGTGAGATGTGTGTATTTGCCTCAGTGAACACGCTCCTCTGATGGGCATGAAGGAAGTGAAGGTGTTTGATATTGATGACAGAGTCACAATTGGAGGTACTAGTAGATTTTGCTCCAAAATTAAGCGAAACCTTATTCACTGGGGCAAGTTCCGAGTTCCTTTAGCTTCACTATTGTTATGGTGCCGTGCTCTTCACCTCACTTTACATTCGATTGTCAGATCTTGAATGCTCGAAATGCCTCTCTGGAAGTGACCCGGATGATGGAGCTGGTGCGGAGGCCATGCAGGTTGATGCCGCCAATGCCATGTCTTACCGCTTCTTGAAGCTGCCACAGCTCATCAGACAAAGGCACTTGGTCTTCTCCTACCTGGGCGGTCATCGCCTACTCAAGATGCCGCAACTGGACCAATCTATGTCACTTGCAGACGGTCCGAGGCGTCTAGTGGACGACAATCAGGTGGCTGCGACATCAGAGACAATTGATGTGAAGGTTGTCGAAGAGAGCTGCTCCCTCACTTGGTCATATACCTTCTCGCAGGTTTGTATGCTGCGGTATACTCACAACTATCTTTTTCGTCGATTCAAAAGCAACACGTCAACCACGCGTTGCTGGCGGAACTCTCCTTTCAAGCCCAGATGTCTCTGGCAAGTCTCCATTCATCTTCAACTTGGACGACCTCCGAAATGAAGAAAGAAGACAACGAACGTTTCGGTACCTCACTTCTTCGATGAACAGCATAAAAACAATGGACAAAGCACGCGCATGTAGGTGCCTTGATGTGGAGCATGCGGAGTAGCTCAAGCTACTGTCTCACATGTACATGTCACTTTGTACATACAACACATTTCCACGTAAACGAAGGATTTGAGGGGCTGGAYGACGCAGTCGCTCCATCTATCCGAGGCCATTGATACAATAATGCCCGTCGCTGCTGATGAGTTCCCATTCCTCAAATATCACTCCTCTTCAGCCAAAGAACCAAATTACTGGAATATATCGAACCTCTAGAGTCAAACAGTACCGCCCAGAATGCCTGCAACCACGAATGGTAGCAACGGGCACGGAGGATCTGCTCTGTGCAGTGTTGACGAGTTTGTGTCCAACGAGTATGACTATGTAAGTGTGTATAACATGCCATTACGCTCAAACTTATTGCTGATATGGACACAAACAGATCGTTGTAGGAGGCGGAACCGCTGGGCTCTGTGTCGCAGCAAGATTGACAGAGAATCCAGATGTCAAAGTTGGAGTCATCGAGGTGAACACATTTGCATCTCTCAGTAGCGGCTCGCACTGATCCTGGTGAAAAAGGTTGGGAAGAACCTCATGGACGATCCTCAGATCTCCACTCCAAGCTTATATCCAACTTTGATCGGACGAGAGAAGTACGACTTCTGCTATGTTTCCGAGCCGGTCGAGACGGCCGGGAACAAAAAGTACTCGATGCCGCGTGGTCGGGTCTTGGGCGGGTAAGTAAGCTGAAGTGTGCAAGACGCAGGACGTGTCTCGAGCCTTCCCCTAGCCTTGAATCTAAGCACCATGCTAATTCTCGTACTTCGATATCAGGTCTTCCGCAATCAACTATCTAATGTATGTCCGAGGCTCGCGTGGTGACTATGACGGCTGGGAATCTCTCGGCAACAAAGGCTGGGGCTGGGATGGGCTAGTTCCGTATTTTAAGAAGCATCAAACACTGGATCCAGCAGAGAAAGAGCCTCCAAACAAGCAGTTTATGCCAAATGGAGCGATGGAGAAATACCACGGCACCGATGGACCCATACATACAAGCTTCAATGACCATTACGAGCCCTTTGAGATGGACTTCTGCGAAGCGGCGTATGAGGTCTCTGGCAAGGAACGAACCTTGGTTGATGCATGGAGTGGTGACCACATGGGCTTCTACTCCAGTTTGGCCGCCGTCGATCGATCTTCCGACAAAGGCAAGCGTTCGTACGCCGCCACAGGCTACCTCCGACCCAACCTTGGACGCCAGAATCTGAAAGTCTTGACTGAGGCGTTGGCCAGCCGTATTCTGCTGGAGAAAAACACGGCGATCGGTGTTGAGTTCATCCATAATGGTAAGAAGCAGCAAGTCAGAGCCTCGAAAGAGGTGATACTATCTGGTGGTACAATCAATAGCCCGCAATTACTCGAGCTCTCCGGCATCGGTGACCCTGGAGTTTTGAAAGCAGCGGGAGTTGAGTGCTTGGTCGTCAACGAGCGAGTTGGTGAGTACGACCAATCACCATGACCAAGTTCCGAAGCTGATTTCGAATCAAAGGCGCCAATTTTGAAGACCACGTCCTTGGTGGCATGCTTTACGACCTCGCAGATGGTGTCACATCGATGGACGCCATGCATGGAGACGAGTACCAGAAGGCCCAACAAGAGCTGTACGAGAAAACCAACGGCGGAGTCCTGGGTAGCCCAGGAATGCTGATGGGCTTCGTATCTTATGCCTCCATCGTCGATAAGGACACACTCGACCAAACAATCAGCGAAATCAGGAAGAACTCTTTAGCCAAAACCGACTTCGAAAAGAGGCAAGAGGACGTTGTTGTACGCCAGCTGTCGGACCCGACTTTCGCCAACATTCAAACCTTCTGCATTCCATGCCAGTTAGATCTCAGCGCAGGAGAGAACCAGGTCAAGTTTTTCTCTGCGCCGCCGACTGGTAAGAATCGTGTTTCGCTGCTGGTATGTCTGGAACATCCTCTATCGCGCGGCACAGTCCATATCAAAAGTTCAAACCCCTTGGATCACCCTCGTATCGACCCTGGATACTTTAGAAATGCTGCCGATGCGAAAATCATGGCCGCGGGAATCAAATGGATGGATCAAGTGGCGAAGCGCCCGATCCTGGCAAAGAGCCTTGGCGAGCGGATCCTGCCACCACAGAATGCTAGCATCGAGACTGAAGAGGAACGGATCGAGTTTGTCAAGAACCACATCTCAACCCAGTACCACTTGATTGGGACCTGCACAATGGGGGAGGTTGTTGACGACAGGCTGAGGGTCAAGGGCGTAAAGGGCCTGCGTGTCATCGATGCTTCGGTCTTCCCTGGTCATGTCTCCGGCAATATCATGTCGTCGACGTACGCGGTCGCAGAGAAGGGGGCTGATTTGGTCAAGGAGGATGACGGACGATATTAGGTCTTTGCCGGATATACGCAATTGTCTCGCTTGCGGGATGTCAACCATGCACAGCTTCCCTAGAACCCCTTCAGCGGTACAAGTAGTGGTTCGAGAACCTATTTCCATAGTAGTCCATTTCCTCGTCATGGCTGGACTCGTTATTGTTGCGCACCACTTGCACGACGCCATTCCAAAGCCCGTCCACCTCAGCACCCACATCGCCAGCTGCGACGCTTCGCTGATGAGCGAGCTTACGCTCTTTTCGAAATTGCGATATCAAGGCAATGTTGTCTATCATGGGCTTCTTCAAAGAGACTCGTGTAGGGGTTGGAGGTCGTCGTCCGAAGCTGACTTCCTTCTCGTTCGTGGCAGAGATCGAATCGGACGAATCGGCCTCGATAGTCGGGAAGACACACTCTTCATCCCCAAAGAAGCTAAAGTCTCTCTCAGCAGCTGACCATAGCTTTTCGCTATCCTGATCTTCGGTCATCGACTTCGTATGTGGCCACGGGCTTCCAGCATTGCCACTCTCCTTCGCTGGCGCAAGTTCCAGCACGAGACGTTTCAAGGCGAACAGCTTGGTGGCGGACTGTTCTAGTGTTGACGCCTGACCTCGCCGGCCAGGTGGCAAAGCGTAGTCTAGTTCTGCTTCGGAACGTGCCCAAGACGCCTCTTGTGCGCAATTCTTGATAAAATCGATGATGCGATCAGCCACTTCACGATTGGTCGTAAAGGGCGGAAATTCTGTCAGTACGAGTGTGGTGAGGTGCGGAAGCATCGAAGGATGCAAGTTATTGCCAGCCGACTTTCGTGCTGCCAGCCTTGCTTTCCTATCCATTGCCATTGAGGAGTAACTCCTTGGTCGTGTTGATGGCGACAGTCGCAWACTACAATTCAGCGTGGTTGAGGAGCTTGTCGGGCTAGCGCATTTTGACGAGCTTTCAGTGGTGACGATAGAAATTCCGTGGTTCAACTGCTCGGTGGCTACTCCCACCTCGTCGAAAACTTCAGGGGCGAAGGCGCTTCCCCTTCTTACGTTGTCGGTAGGTTCTATGAGTTGTGGAATGTGGAACGTGTGATCAACGCTAGGCGAGGGAAAGCGCTGTGCTGAATCACCAGGAAGCTCATACACGGGTATGGTATGATCCACGCCCATCTCAAAGATCTCTGGCGGCAGTGATGTACTTTCGAGCTCCGCCGCAGATCTTGAGGCGGGTAGAGCTGTATCTTCGAGTTCCACACCCCCCCGGACCATTTGTTCTGAGGTTGACATCTTTGTTACGAGATCATGCCCAATCCGTAAGAAGCTCAAGGAGTGTGCAGCGTAGTTGGCAAGGATTGGCGTGAGTGCTCCACAGTCACTCGTGCCTGCTAATGCGCTTGGTTCACTGCAAGTGTTGGTGGCGGTGCCAGCGTCCAAGACATGAAGCCTTCCCGTCCGCAAAAGTCGCGACACGCCGTCGACTGTCAGAGCATTTCCAGCAATGTACATGTGGGTTATACCACATACTGGAGTATCCTCAATTGCAAGCCGACTGACAAAGCGTCCAGTGAATGCATTGCGTAGATAGCTTTCAAAATCTTCTCCTTGGTACACTTCCAGCATCTCACTCCCGAGATAGGGAAGAAGCGAGGGGGACGAGACAGTCCCTCGCACATCATCTCCACCATTGCTTGTGAAGCAGTGATCGAGAAGCGCCTTCACGCTCCGATCTGTAAGCTCGTTATCCCGCACATCCAGGCTTCGCACGTGGAGTCCGATAGATTTACAGAGAATCTCGACACCTGCATCGCGAAGACTGATCCCGCGCAGTTTCAACACTTGCAAGCCCGTACATTTGCCGAGTGAGATCAAGACGTCAGGACTACGGGAAGGATATGTGAAGGATAGGTCCAGGTACAGTAGTCCTTCGAACCGGCTTAAAGCCAAAGCAAGACCACTTGATGTGACGTTCGGGCACTTTGAAGCGTCTAGGAGGCGCAAGCCAAAGGACGGCATAATTGCAGTTGGCCTCTGTGACAAGCCTCCGGCAGGCGCGGGGAGCTCAAACATCCCGAGTGGTGGGCTCACCGCCGTGTATTTCCGCATTGACACGAGAGCGTGTATTGCCCCATGGTCGAAGAATGGAAGTCCTCGGACAACCAACGATTGCAAGTTGGGAAGCCGTTCTACCATATCACGAAGCCATTCCGTATGAGGTCCGTTGTAAATTTCTGCCTGAGCAGGAGGGAAGTGAAGCGTGTGAGTGAGGGATCTGACCAGTAATCGGGCAGTCTTCAAGTTGCGACTGAAACGCGTCAATGCGACATACACTCTGTCATTCTCGACGCCAAAATGTGAGGCCGGATTGCCCCAGATGTGAGGCGTAAAGGTGGAGTGCCACCGGCTGCAGACAAGAGCAGCAGCCGTCAGATCATGGGAAGGCATGTATCGCGCGACGATGTCCCAGCAATCAACCAGCGTGGCGTTCTCGTAAGACGGAGGTGCCGACTCCATGATCGCGAGGTCGTTTCATGAACGTGGGCCGATTAATTAATGTTTGGTCCATTCAGTGTGCCCAAGAAGTTCAGCTGTGACCAGAGGTCCGAGCCCGAGGCTGCCGAATTCCAAGATCCAAGGTCGAGGGCGCAGCTTGCAATCCTTTCGGCACATCTCCAGCATTCGTTAGCGAATAGGTATAGTCGTACATGCCATCAATAGAAGTTCGACCTAGCTGGTTGGGGAATGATCAGTATGAGGTGGCAATTGATTGAACGAAGATGATGTTCGAATTGTGACTTTGAACGTAGCGGCTGCACTGCCAGACTGCCACGCAAGGGTAGGTAGCAAGCTACCTTATGCATGCCAATCATGACCATCTCTTGCGAGATATCGCTACAGGCTATTCACGCAGTACGGCATCTGACCACGCTGAATTGCGCCTCTATTGTCCTAAAGCTCAAAGATATCTCGCGACTGTTATTATCTGGTATCAGCCGAAGCGGCGTTCTGTGCCAACCAACAGTCGTCGCTCAGCGGAGAGCCTACACGAGTCAACGCCAAAAGAAGCACATTGGGGCATGGTTCCATACTGTGGTGATGCCGGGGCATATATCAGGGACCTGAGTTGAGGTAACCAAACGCCTAAACTTTCCAACCCGTTCCCTCCGTAATCAATCCATTCCATTCCGTTTCCGATACTCCGTGATTTTATGCTGATCGTAGAGTGAAAATAAGTCATGGTCATAATCCTACGGCGGCGTGCCCGCAGTGGGTGCCATCGGTCCATTGGGTCGTGGTGACGATGAATTTGCAGCCATTCGACCCTCCAGCCCCTGCCATCCTGGGAAGAGGCCTTTCAGGCGATCGTAGAGGGGCACAAGAGCAGGCATATGAGGAGGTGGGGTCATAAGGGCAGGGCCCGGAGGCACATTGCTCGACTGCGAGGCCGTGGGCATGAGCCACGCCAGATTCGCCTGCACCCGTCGCATCGTGTGAACGTAGAGCTCCGAAGGGTGTTTCTCGGGCAGGCCTTCACTGCGTAGCTGCTGCAGCTGCTGCTGGCTGAAAACGCCACCTTGGCCGTCGGCCTGTAACCTGTCGATCTCCTGCAGAAGCTCATTGTTGATCTCCAGCAGCAGATTTATCCGCTGCTGCTCTCGACCCTGCGTGCCTGGCGACTGCGGGATGGTGGGTGATTGCGCGACGCGGCTGCCCCCAACGGCTGCCTTGGGTGGTTCGGGCTGCGGCTGCTGTCCAACGCTGGTCGGTGGGACGGCCATGGGGTATTTGTAGCCCTCATGAGGGGATATGCCTGCAGGTGGGGACGCGCTCGGTCTCACAGCCTGCTGGGACTGTGATTGTGGCGGTGGGAATCGCGGTGATGGGACAGACGTAAACTGAAACGATTGGCCTGGGAAGGATGCGCATCGTCAGCTTCATTGTCAAGTTCAGCCAGGTGCGGCTCGGTTGGATGGCAGGCATGGCAGGCATGGCATGGCACAGCAAGGCACCTCATCAAGCCCATCGAAAACAGCTGCGCATGTGGTTGACAGCAAAACAAAACCAAGAAATGCAAGGCACACATGCCAACAACGTGGGGCACCGAGCGCAAAACGCAAAGCACCTGACTGACAAGCTGACACTCACCTGTTTGCTGCATGTGTGCCGAAGAAGTCCTGCCGATCTGTCCATGGTTCTGGTTCTGGCTCGCAGAAGCGAAAGAGGCTCCCGCCCCGGTAGTACCGACTGCGCGGCTGTAGGGAGTCTTGTACGCATGATTGAACGCACCACTTGGGATGGAAGCTGATTGGATCATGTTGGTCTTGTTTAATGCTGAGTCGTGGAGCGTCGCTAAATGTTCTTCCTAGTCTTTCCGTGCTCGCAGACTTTTTACTCCAACTGAGGCATAGCTCCGCAGGGATATTGAAAAGCGTGTGGCAACCTTAAAAACCTCCACCAATCGACCGTCTCATGGTTCAGTCGTCCGCGCCGTCATATTCAACATTTAATCAACATGTCAGGTCGCGGCCGAGGAGGCGGTGGGCGAGGAGCGTACTACAAGGCAAGATATGGCAATCGAGGAGGGCGAGGTGGTGGCCATTTCACCAACAACGATGATGCGTCCGACCAAGCGTCTTCATCTCGTCAGATTGAGGGACAATCTCACGACTGGGCCCATTTGCAAAGCACCCTTGCGAGTCTTGATGGTGCTCAATACGGTAAATTACTCCTTGGTTCCTCTTATCTGTTTCCCACTGCTTGACAATCGTTCTCCCGCTCACCGATTACGAAACAAGTGGTGATGCTCTTGGAGTTGACAATGGCATTCAGGAGCATATAAGAGACTACAGGGGCGGTACAGCCACGTCAATCCGCGATTTGTCCTGAGTGTCGACCACGTTCAGTCAGACGCCTACGCAGCTCCCTCTCGCATCCGAGTCATCGTGCCTTGGAAAGAAACCGCTCTCCCTGACGAGTACCTGGACTCCGAAATCAGAAAAGTCGCTCTGTGTGATTTTGTCTCTCGCGTGGCCGGATCAATCATACAAGCAAAGCACCTCGATCACAATGTCGGAAGCGCAAATGGCGGATGGTCTGGCCCGAAGGGTGGAGCCTTTTCTTTCTGCATGCCTGGTCAAGAAATTCTCCCGCGAACCTCAGCCATGATTTCTGGAGACTCTTCTATCGAGCTGCGTCTTGCAGTGTCGTTACCTGCGGCAGGACGCACCATTCTAGGCCAGCAGGCCAATACTATCTTGTCCACAAACCTGGTAGCCCTTATTAAAGGCTCACTATTCCACGCACAGCTCGACCAATCAAAATTGGCACTGCACATTCGTTCTGCTGAGGATCAGCAGTCGCTTCGCCTACAACTTGAGAAGCGCGGGCTCATAGCGTTTCTTGCAAACGGTTCAATCTTACCGCGAGCCTCGGGGGCATCACAAAAGCCTATGGACGGAGGGACTGCGGTGCCATTTCAATCTCCGAAAGAGTTCGAAGTCACCATTGAAACCTCGTCTGGGACAAAGTTCACAGGCATGGGCATCCCCAAAGGCATAACGCTGCTCACAGGTGGGGGTTTTCACGGTAAGTCTGTGCTGCTTGCTGCGCTAGAGCTGGGCGTTTACAATCACGTCCCTGGAGATGGGAGAGAGGGCATTGTCACGGATCCTGGCAGTGTCAAGATCAGAGCGGAGGACGGACGAGTTGTTTCCAAGACCGATATCAGCCCATTCATCTCAAAACTACCAGCCGGCAAGGACACAACAGTGTTTTCCACGGAGGACGCAAGTGGGTCTACTTCCATGGCAGCCAACATTCAGGAAGCTTTGGAGGTCGGATGCACTACCTTACTGATCGACGAGGACTGTAGCGCTACTAATCCGCTGGTGCGGGATAACCGCATGCAAGCCCTCATCCGGAACGAGCCCATCACGCCTCTTATCGGCAAGGTGCGAAGCCTGCACAAGGAKCACGGAGTCAGCACCATCACAGTAATTGGCGGACTTGGGGACTGGCTCGCAGTTGCGGATCGTGTTGTACTGATGGAGTCATATTCCCCCAGTGATATCACTCTGCAGGCCAAGAAGGTGGTTCAGCACTTCCCAAGTGTTGTTCAAGAAGACAAGTCTTACGGATCGATTCCTAAACGAGTATTGAGAATCGATTTGCGGGCTACGAGACTGCCCATGGCGCCCAGGAAGGACTTCATTAGCATGAATCCGCAGGTCAAAGATGCGGCGGACGATCCGTCCAAGGATGTAAGCGGTATTGACTTGAGCGGACTGGATCAGATCGTTGAAGTGGGACAATCTCGTCTCCTTGCGACTCTCCTACAGCGAGTGGACTCAAGAACCGCGGGAAACGCCTTGACTTTTGCCGAGATGTTTGAGGCCATGGAGGACGCGGTTGGAGTGGACAAGTCCTTGCCTATTTCCCTGATTGGAGGAGACTTGGTGGCTGTTCGTCGCTTCGAAGTTGCTGCTGCTCTTTCACGTATCCGTGGAATGGCTTTGCGAGTCGACAAGTCTATCGAGTGAAGAGTCGCTGCCGTTAACGCTGCACTCCGGCGGCGGTTAGCCTCGTCCACAAAGCATTCGCCATGACCGATAGGGCTGAAGAAGAATGCAATGCGGAACTCGAGCATCCACTGATGTAGTGGCATTGCTGCATCCTCCGTGGCGATTGCCACCAGGTCAATGAGACGTAGGGAGCGGTGCGGAAATGCCTCACAGCATGTTCGTAAGAGCCTTTCACTGCAGTTCATTGGTCAGAATGCCTCATTAGTATGACTGTTGGAGGCCTAAATCTTTATAGTGACTCTCACATGAGTGCTGCGCCTTGCAAAGCGTAAGGTACTGAGTGAATATTGTCGCAAGAACGATTGGACGCAAGGTGAGTGGGACTCAAAGGTCTGCCGCCATCGGCTTTGCTGCCGCGCCCCATACCACTCGGCTACGGCGCGTTTTTAAGAACAACTCTGCAACAATCCTTTTAGGCGATAGTGCGACGCTAGCATTATAGGGTATTAGAACCTCGGTAATTAAAGGTGTATTCCGTACAATAAGTAATAAGTAGCGTAATTTAATATGCGCGTGCAATGTCCTCGCTTTCCTTCTTTAAAGTAATTTTATTTAAGTCTACGATACCTAAGTAATAATAGTAAGGATAAAGTAAAGGTATAATAGTATTACGCGGGTAGCTATATAACTCTTTATATAGGTAAGTAAGATCTCTAAAAGAGTAGTAGGATAAAGACCTACTACTCTTTTAGTAACTCTTATTAATATTTAAATACTAATATTAATACCTACTACTCCTACTACTATACTACCCCTTTACTACTTACCTATATTCTCCTTCCTCCTCTATACTACCCGTATAAAAGCCTAAGAAGGCGAAGAAGCCTAAGTTACTATACTTATAGCTAGGTTATATCGATATTACGAAATACTAAAGGGCTAGAACTTTCCCTAAGAATCCGGATAATAATAGCAAATACGGATATTTTAAGTAGAACTTTATAAAAGTATAAGCTAGGAATTTAATACTTTAAGAGTAGCGCTAACCCGTATAATAGCTTAAGAAAATAGGATTCTCCCTTAACCGCRAGTAGAGGGAGATAATAGCTAAGCCTACTAYTAAGTAYRTCGAGATCTATAATAGCTTTAYTAATAGGATCGATAATATCYRAGAYCGTCCGAACTACGTCGACGCCTTTCTAGTTACGAGCCGGTCTATATAATCCTATTAGAGAATTATTAAAGTATAATAGCTAATAATATCGTAGTAGAATAATATTAACTAAGAAGGAGTATTATAGAGATTATAAGGAGCGGAAGGACTATAATAGTAATATAATTAAAGGCCTAGGGCTATTTCTAGTATATTTCCTACCTGTATAAAGATATTCGACGCTAACGAGAATAGCGCTATATAATCTAGCGTAGATATTTAAACTTAGCCTATAGTAACTATATCTAGCGGGGAACTAAGAGTACCTACTAGTATAGCGATAGAATAGCTAGCGAGAGAGCCTATTAGAAGAGGCTAAAGGCGTATAATAGCAGACTAGAGAATATATACCGGCGACCTAAGCGCGGAATAATTACGAGTATAGCTATAAATAATTAGTTAAAGGGTTTATATTTAGGAAAGGATAAGTAGTCTCGTAGGTCTCGAAGTAAGTCTTAAGGTCGGAAGGGATAAGGTATAAAGAATTAGTGCTCTTCTTTCTTTTATATAATCTCGATTTTAGCTATTACGAGTTCGTAATAGGAGCTTAGTATAATATTATAGTAATATTATAGTTCCTTCCTAAATAGGAAAGTTTCTACTCTTTTTATTAAATTATATATTCTATTATCTACTCTACTCGCGGACTATTATACTAGCTACTTTTATAGTAGAATAAATACCTACTACTCTTTAAGCGACTCTTATCTAAATATATATAAAGAAGAGGTACTAAAGAGTAAGGCATAATAAAAGTAAAAGCGTAATAAGGCAGGTACGTAGGTAGCCTTCTAACTCTTTATATAGGTAATTTAGATCTTTAAAAGAGTAGTAGGATAAATACCTACTACTCTTTTAGCGACTCTTATTAATACCTAAATACTAATATTAATACCTACTACTCCTACTACTATACTACCTCTTTACTACCTACCTATATTCTTCTCCCTCCTCCTACTCCCCCGTATAAATACCTACTACCTTAACGACCGCGAGGATAACTACTAGACCGGCCTTTAATCTACTTTTAATCGATAGAGGTCCTATTAGAAGAAGAAGAATTATTAACGTAAGGGCAGATAAAGTAGGAGCTAGGAATTTAATATTCTAAGAGTAGTACTAACCCGTATAATAGCTCGAGTAAGCAGAATTTACTATTAATAAGAAGTAGAAGGAGCTAATAGAGTTAAAGGCTAGCCGTCGCTTCCTAACTTAAGATCTAATATTCGATCTAGCTATTAAAATCTATAACCGTTACTCCTACGTTAACGCTTTATTAATTTAGAGCCGGTCTATATAATCCTATTAGAGAATTATCGAAGTATACCGGCTAATAATATCGTAGTAGAACGGTATACCCCGACGAGAGAGTAGTAGATAGTAATAAAGAAGAAATAGGAACGGATAAGCGGTACGAGTAGTATTAGAATAGCGATAAGAACTTCTAGGTATATTTCCTACCCGTATAAAGGTATACGATACTAACGGGAATAGAGCTATATAATCTAGAAGAAGAACTTTTATAATATCTATAGTAACTATAAGTTTTATAATTAGGCTTATAGCTACGACCGTAGGGACTTGCTTAATCGCTAGGATAGAGATTAGGTACGGCCGAAGCGTAGTATATCGCAGGTAACGAGGTCTAGGCGTACTAGTAGTCGCTAGAGAATAGGGATAGTAGAGTACTAGTAATAGGGCTTAATTAAAGTAGAGGGTAGTTTTTAGAAAGGTAATTAGGGCGTTAAGGGTATCTAGAGGAGGAGGGAATCTCTTTTAAGTTCTTTATACTAGCGGCTTTAAGCGTTAGGAGTTTCTAATAGGTTACGAGGGCCTTAATTATAGTACTTAAAAACTACTTTTAAAATATATTTTCTATTTTATATTTACTTACTTTTACACCTAAAATATAACTCCTCCTTGCTTTATACGTTCGTATAATTTGTCCCTATAAATATCCTACGATTTATATTACTATCGCTTTATATTAAAGAAATATACTATCTTAACCCTAACCCTATAGTTTTTAGTAAAGTTTTCGCTAAGGTTTATAACCTCTTACTATACTAATTCCTTTCCCGTCTACCCTCTACCCTATTATACGTATATTCTATATAATAGGCCGCTCCCCTTCTATCCCCCCTAATCTTTATTTAAAAGTCGTTAAACTCTAGAATAATAATGCGAGTATTACTAATATTTAAACCTTCCTCTATTTATAATAGCTATATACCTCCGAACGGACTATTCGTATAATCGTCGTAAAGAACGGTAGCGAACCCCGATAGTCGTTAAAGAATAGTCTTTATAATAATCCCCTCCTTCGTATCCGAATAGCCGAACTCTTCTACCTCGAAGCTCTACTAGATACGTATATTATAGACAAATTAAACGAGGAGGGATTTGCGATTAAGTACTATACTTTTATACGGCTTTAGCGGAGTATAAGTATTAAGAAACGACTAAGAGAAGGAGAGTTCCTTAAGCGTTAAGAGGAATATAAAAAGATTATAAAGAAGGAGATTAATCGCTCGAACCTTAGAGCATATAGAATAATATTACTATAAACATACTTCCGTATAACCGATCGTACGCGGCTTGCGCTTAGTAGGTTAGTATATTTATACAATATACATCTATAGGGTAGAAAGGGGTTTGCTAATATACTACTATATCGTAGGAAGCGACTATACGAGATAGCCCGCGAGGTCTATCCCGCTAGCCCGTATAATAGGGCTACGAAGTTTATACGTCGCTATAGGAAGTATATTACGCCTAGCCCTAATGCAGTCTAGAGTATAGATGCACACTATAAACTTAAGGACTATAGCTTTTAGATCTATACTACTATTAATGCAGATATACGGTTTATTCTATACACCTATCTTAGACCCTCTACCCGTATAATAGTATCTATACGATCTAACTTTGCGAAAGCTTATAAAAAGCTTACGAGAGTACCTCGTATTATTCGGATAGATAAGGGTAAAGAGATACTCTTTATAGCGTAGGCTTAATACTAATACGCAAGGATTATTCGTAGGCGTAAAGTACGCTTTCGCCGCTACTTTATGTTTAGAATAAGTACTACTAATGTCCGTATCGAGGTATAGTAGGGCTAGCTTATACGAGGAAGGTTTAAGGTATAGTATATAAGTATATAGAGCATATTATCTATATATGCTYTAGTAACGCTCCCGTTATATCCGAATCTAATTATACGGGTTAGGCTAATTAATCTTAATATTATAGGGCTTCTTTATAATATTAAAGAAGAAGGGGTAGTTTTATAAAGCAAAGAAGGCTAACCGCATTACTATAAAGTATATCTACATACCTATTATRCGGAAAGAACTAGCCTCGTTCGTATATATATAGAACAAGTACCCCGTACGAAGACAATCTAATAGACCGCACGTAAGGGGTAGTATACTAAGCTATCGCTATAACTAGGCAGAGAAGGAGGGAAGGCTAAGTATTAGGTATCTAATCGATAAGGCCTACTTTAATAGTCTTATAGAAGCTTGCGTAAAGTAGGGTACGTTTATACTAGCGAACGTATATAATAGATCTTAAATTAT